TATACATGTCAAAAAGGCTTGGCATTGAAAGGAAAGGTTCAAAAGACAACAAACATAGAGGATATTTGATAGTAAATTTGGACAAGTGATTCAGAGGGCATGGAAAAACATAGAGTCTAGTGTTAAATTAGGATATAATTTAGTGGAAATGTTCTTGACAATTTCCAATGGTATGTACTTGATGTTGGATGTATTTCAGTTTTGTTCTTTGAGCGGTATGACACGTGAATCAAAAAATTCAAAAAAAAATATAATTTTCATGCATCCTGAGACTCTCAAAGTTACGAGGTTTTCATTAATGATGGAATTTTGAAAAGCACACACAGGCGAGACAATATTGTGAAGGGGAGAAGTATGGTGATTTTTTTTTTCAAAAAAAAATTTGTTACCTGATTACCTCAATAGTTGGGAGCAGAATTAAGAAAGGAATCCAAGATTGCTTTCAAGTTGTAAGTAGTGGAGAAGAGGAAAATCCTACAAACTTAAGTCAACTAAAGGTTGGATTCGGATTAGCTATATATGTACATTACAACAACGTAATAATTCAGTATGTATTACTACACATGAAGCTTTTGGTGGAGATTATTAGGATATTACTTATTTTGTTTAGGCAATTTTTATTTTGTGTGACAAGTAAATAGTTTCTAGTAATTTATACGTATTTAGAGTAGTTGCCAAGAAATTTTGTATTTATATACGTTTGGAAATCAGGTAAGTTATTCTTTTATTATTATTGAAGTACTAAGAGGGAAATGCCCGCGCACCGCGCAGGTGTTTGGTGCCTGTGGTTAAAGAAGATTTTACGGTAGTTCAAGCGAATATCAAAAAACTCACGCACATTGAGTAACAATATGAAGTAACAAAATATCTAATGTATACTGGAAGATGGAGATGAAAATTATGCATGTTATCTTGCTCAGTTCATATATTTTGAAACAAACACTTGTATATGAGCTTTTCATTAACAAGACTAAATGAATTTTAAACAGATACCCAAACGATTAATGACAATAAACAAAGTGATTATCCACTTAAAAATGCATTTACACAACATTCTTGTTGATGAAAGTAGCCAACTTTTTTAGCAACGACAAAGCCTAGCCTCAAAAGGTTTGGTTCCATCCGAGGATTCAGCAATGGATCATCAACCCCCGTAGATTTTGAGTGAACATAATGCCAAATGTCCTCAACATAGGCCTTCACCTGTAATTTCATTAACTCAATACTAATTAGATCTTTCCCCCAAAAATAAGGACAATTGAGAAAAATCACATCAAGATCGAAGCTGTCTAGTATCTCCAGCCAAACCCTTGATGCCATGTTATGTGCTAAATTGCCACCAGCACTATCCCCACCAAAAAACACCCTATCAAAGCTAGCATAATCCCTAAGCCATACCTCAGGACCCTCGCCATTTGAACGAGGGGCAACCCATTTGACTGTAATCTAAGAATCTTTATAAGCAATAGGCAAAGAATACTCAGGGGCGAGCCAATAGTTAATTGAAACTGCTACAACACCAGCTTCTGCAACTACTACATTAAGGTGCACGTGATATGTAAAAGAGAAGGCAAATTTGATCAAAAAAGCTCCACCATGTAAGTAGACCAAAAGAGGAAGTTTTGTATCTCCAAACCTATTCCAACAAAACCACATCATTTAAATTGTATAGAACAACCAACTTTGTGGGGAAACAATAATATCAACATTAAATTGCGCTAACAGAGTATCCAATTTTGGAATGAAAGCATTTAGCTAACAATAGAAATTACGATTTTACAAAGCAAATCATACTATTAAGAAAAAGAATAAAACCTCACCTCAAGTTGAACCGCCAAGAATAACTTCACCAGAGAACCATATTGAAATCCAGAGTACAATGGCAATACAAATAAGTATTTATCGGAAGACGAAAGGAACATAACGGAAGAATGTAAAGGGGCAGACATTTGAAGAATTGAAGTTGAAACTAATGCTCAATCATAAATTCCTTAATAAACCACCATGTCCTTGCTTTAATTGAGATGAAAATGACGTTTGAAGTTCTTCAAGTTATAATAGCAAAGTAACAGTAATAATTGATACAAACCAAAATGAATGTCTCTGCAAGGACATTTAAGTAATTACACCAATAAAGAAGCTATTATGGGTTGTACCCATTGTAGAAAAGATGATCAAATAATCTCACATTCCCAAACTACCCAAACCTTTGAACAAATCATCACTGCATCTTTTAGAATACAAGGACATTTCAGTAAACACAATAATACACATGCTATCTAAAGTAGTACCTAATACTATAACTACACTTAAAACAATCTCACAATCCCAAAATACCCCTACTCTTGCGGTTGAAATTCAAAGTCATTCTTTGACCCAAACTCATTCTTATATAGTATAAGGATTTGTCAAGTAATATATCCTATAAATTGAAGGGGACTGTCATATCATAAATTAAAGTACACAAAAGGAGTCATGATTATAGATGTGAGTGAGAAAAAGGACTTTGGTGTATCAGAAATATTACACAGGGATTGGGTTTAGAATTCAAATTGTGTTTTTATATGAACCTTCTTCATAATAAAGAATGGGTTATTGATATGAACATGTTAATTCTTTCCTGTCAATTGTATTTTCATGTTTTTGACTATTTTCCTTAAATTGTTATTAACTTGATGTCTTATTAGTTGCTTATTTCGTGCTTGGATCACAATAATAGGTTAGTCGATTTCAATTTTCTTTTTTGGTATGATAAAAGTGTAATCATTACTCATTGCAAATTTGGGGACCAACAATGAAGACTTTCCTAGTTTTTGTCAAAATATTTCTTTGACGTTAATTGGCAAAACCGGTTTTAATTTTTTGTCCTTTGTTTTCATTTTCCTTCAAATTATCGTGGGCCAATTGCTGTTTATGTACGAGGAACGTGAAAACTCCGTGCACTTATAGTAGAGTTCTGTGTGAGGTCCAAATCCAATACCATAATTGTGGCCTTACAATTGTAATACAATTCGCGGTCAGTTCTAGCACCTATCTCCCATGCAAGTTTTTAGTCTAATTTTTAATAGACAAGTTTTTTAACTATTTTGTTTACAGTAATCCTCTACAAACATCTCAAAATTTTTAATGTACACGTCGCTTAATATCTAAGAACACACAAAATTTTCACTTTTTTCATCATTTTCTTCCTTCTTCCCCATCTCAACTCTCTACCGTCGGCCGGACGATGCTGATGTCACCAACTTGCAACCTCCTCCCACGTCCCTCCCATAGTTCATCAAAATTTCTCATAGAGTTCATCAGAAATCAGGCCCATCCTATAAGCAAACGGGACTGCATGGTAAAGAATTCCTTGAAATGTAGTTGCTGGATGTCCAACTATGTATCCCTGAAGCCATAAATGGAAATGTCTCAGTTTTAACCTTAGGATGGTAATTTTTTCTCCAAATAGTATGTAATCAATCTAACTTATGTAGACTAGAAAAGATAAGATCATCAAAGATATAGACCTTAATGATCAATACGTGGTTCAATGCTGACCTCGTTTACTGGAATAACACCAAAATACAAGTAAGTTTTAGGCCTTATATATAATTAATCTTATGGTCAGAGAGCAACAAATTGTTGATCCTATACTCTTTGTATTTAGCAAACTTCAATTGATCATCTTGTGGGAGGAGATAATATAGAATTCTAAACTATTGAGGTCCAACACGAAAGAGTACTTATGCAATGAAGGCATAAAGGATCCCATAAACTCGCATCCTAAGTATCTCCTAAATGGAAGTTTTCAAAGAAACATTTTCTTTCTTTATTCCAAAGCGTCCAAGGAAGTATCCCTAAAGCAATCAATTTAACAACGCCGCGACACGTTAGCAAGAAGTACAATTAAGTAAAATCTAGATGGTGATTTTTGGAGCTAGAATAGAAGATGTAACTTTGTGCCTAAGTGTTTTTATCTTGCTATATAGGTTAAGGAGAAAGAAGGTTATGAAATATATAGAAGTTAAATCAATATGTGGCTCAATCCTAGCATCGTTACCTGCAATGACACCAAAATAAATCAAGTCCTATGAGATAATGTTTCATGTACGTATTCATGAAGCAATAATTTGTTGCTTCTATTTTTGTTTTCAGCAACTTGAATGGATCATCTTGTGGCAGGAGATTAAATTATCTGAATTATGAGATCCAACTTGAAGGAGTAATGCCATCAAGATATTAAAAAAAAATCACAGAAAATTGCATCCCTAAGTATCACCTAATTAGATGAAAGTTTTCTTATTTACACTTCATGACTACTTCTTCATCAAAGGTGAGGAGGAGAAGGAAAAGGGAAAGATACAATGCCATTAAGATATTAAAAAAATCCCAAAAAATTGCATCCCTAAGTATCACCTAATTAGATGAAGGTTTTCTTATTTACACTTCATGAGTACTTCTTCATCAAAGGTGAGGAAGAGAAGGAAAAGGGAAAGATACTAAGAGAAAAGAATAAAAAGCTTAAAAGCTCCTTAATTAGTAAAGTTTTTAATTCTTTTTCCCCTTAAAGCTCCATCTATCAGGTGCAAGCATGAAATATCCCTATAACTAAAGAGTCTTTTCGGATTCACAAGTTTATAAAATAGCATTAACAGTGTATTTGGATCTCTTTAGAAGGCTATATATTTGCATAATTGCTACTCTCAGTTTATAACTTAATTGTGAAACTTGCCAAAATCGAGAACCACATCTTAAATGGATGGAACTAGTTAGGTTTTTAGGCTGTCTGTACAGGTGAGAAGTTCTGATAAAAATGTCACTGATTTTGGATTAGAAACCAATTGGAATGAACCTGTAATCCCAGAAAAGAAGTTGCTGGGGAGGACCGGTTCCGATGGTGAGAAGCTTGAAAAATATCTAGATTTTGATCCAGAAGTTGAGTTTAAGAAGTTTCATTTTAAACTAAAAGTGGGCCAGAAGTTCAAAAATTTCAGATTATTCAGGATGGCTTTATTGGAATGGAATATAAGAGAGGTATGAAACAAAGTGGATCAGAAATGATTCCTACAGAATTACAGCTGAGTGTGAGAGGGGTTGTTCATGGAGGAACCATGCATCAAAAGTTCAAGGGTGAGCATTTTTGTGGTAGAGAGTACAACAACGAGCATGTTACATCGAGATACCTTAGCCAAAGATATCAATTTAAGATTAGAAATGATCCTAAGCGTAACTTAATTGGTTTTCAAAATGAGGTTAAAAAGGATTTGATGGTCAGTGTCACTTCATCTAAGCTGTATAGAGCGAAGAGAAAGGCAAAAGAAGATATACAGGGATTAGACATGGAGCAATATCATAATCTGTGGCATTATGCAGTGCAACCACGATCCTGAAGTATAATCCTAGTAGTACAGTAAAGATTCAAGTTGACATACCTGATACAACATCTAAAGGTACATTTGAAAGAATGTACTTCTGTCTTCATGCTTGCAAGCAGGGATTTCTTGACGGATGTAGACCAATTATTGGTCTAGATGGGTGCATTTTAAAGAGTGCATTTGATGGCCAATTATTATCTGCCTTAGGGAGAGGTGGTAATGATAATATGGTTCCAATAGCACTGGCTGTTGTTGAAGTTGAAAGGTATTATTTATGGAGGTGGTTCCTACAGCTTTTACTGGATGATTTAGGATTGGGGATGGACAATATACCTTGGACCTTCATTTCAGATCGACAAAAAGGACTTGTTCAAGCTCTTAGAGAGCTTTTTCCTGACTCTGAGCATAGGTTCTGCACAAGACATATGTATCAAAATTTCAGCCAAAAATTCAAAGGAAAAGAGCTGAAGGACTTGTTTTGGGTATGTGCAGGTGCTGGAAATGAGGCAGACTGGCATGTGGCAATGAAAGACATGGAAAAAGTTGACTCACAAGCGTCAGCATGGCTTTCAAAATTTTCACCAACTCTGTGGACCAGATTACACTTCAGTGGAAGAAGTAAGTGTGACATATTGGTTAACAATTTAAATGAGTCATTTAACAATTACATTCTTCCAGCAAGGGAGTTGGCTGTGGTTGGGATGTTTGAATGGATTAGCAGAAGACTAATGCAACGATTCCAGGTAAAGAGGACTAGGATGGAAAAATTTCAAGGTAAAATATGTACAAACATCCATGACAAGATTGAGAATAATGTAAGGCTGAGTAGGACATGTGTTGTTAAATGGGTTGATGGCTGGAAATATGAAGTTGATGCTGGTATTAACAAAACTGTAGTGGTAGACCTACAAGATTGGACCTGTATATGTGAGTTATTTCAATTAGCAGGTTATCCATGTGTCCATGCATGTGCAGCAATACAAGCACGTAAAAAGCCAATAGTTGATTTTGTCCACAAATGCTACAGCAAAAAGACTTATTTGAAGACATATAGGCATGTATTTATGCCTGTACCAAGTGCAAGGTATTGGGAGAAGGCCAATGAAGAGCCAATTAATTCTCCATTGATAAGAAAGATGCCTGGAAGGCTAAAGAAGGTGCGAGGGAGAGCACCTGATGAACCAAAGAAGGGACAAATATCAACCATAAAAGGACTTACTGGGCATTGTAAAATATGCTTCAAACCTGGACACAATTCAAGAAGTTGCAAGAATACAATCCATCCAAATTTTACAAGGTACAATCTTCTTATGCATGGCATAAGCTCTTCTTTATTACTAACAGTTCATAACTTTTTTGTTTTGATGTCATAGGCCAATCAAGAGCCTGCTGGTGAAACTTTGGAGCCACAAGAAGCTAACCACTCTGCTGGTCGCACTTCATAACCAACCCCTCAGGGAAAGCCGGTTGATAATCCCAATCTATCTAAATCAAAAGTTTCAAAGAGAAAAGTATATACTCAACCAACAATGTCTAGTGTCAACAGGGTTATCACTAGAAAAATTGCTTCTTCTTAGGTATTATTCATGAATCTTAGTACATAGTACTTGAAACATATGTCCTGTACTAACATACTTCCATTTAACAGTCTACTGTGATTGGAGGACCTGTTAAGAATATTGCTGGTGGAAGAGTTAGACCTCCAACAGTTGTTGATCGATGTGCTGCATAAAATAAGGGCCAAGAGAACAAGAACAAATCCATCTTCCTAAATTGTGTGTGTGTGTAATTCGTAGTTAGGTGATGTGATGTAAACTGGCATTTTTTGGTAACTGGGTTGGACTTAGATGACTGCAAATATGCCCAAACTGTTTTGTTTTTTGTACTGATTTTTGGGCGTTGAGTTTGGTGTAAACAGATAATGATATGTTCTACTTTTATATGGATGATTTGAATGACTATTTTTGTATGAATGGAAAGATGGATAGCATTTTGCGTCCAATTTATTATCATGTCGTTGAATGGTTGATGGATATCATTTTGCAGGCATTTCAATTCCCTTCTTGCTGAATAGTTGTTTTTGTGTGAATGAATAGATGGAATATCAAAGCAAAATGGATCGCATTTTGCATCCAATTTATTATCATGTCGTTGAATGGTTGATAGATATCATTTTGCAGGCATTTCAATTCCCTTCTTGTTGGATGGTTGAATGGTTGTTTTTGTGTGAATGAATAGATGGAATATCAAAGCAACTATTTCATTTCTCTTTTGCAGGTTTTAGTTTCATTTACCGTAAGTTGCATGACAAAAAAGGGACATACCCCATCTCAATCACAGTATGACTTTTACATTTAACAATAACTATCCAAAAGACAATGCTGGCAATATTTCTTTTTCATTTCTACAAAGCAAAACATGAAACCGTCATTGTACATATGGATTTTCAGTACACTTTTCCTTCCCCATTCAACGTCACTACTAGAACTAAACAAAAGATTAACACATCAATTTCACATCTTGGACATCAAAACTAAGAGTGAAAACACAAACACCATTAGACAATAACAAACAAGCAACTTAAGGCTCTTCAGTTCCTCATCCACTTTCTGCCATCTTGACATCATGCTAGCTTCCATACTTGGTCGCTTTTCCTCTGCTAGTTTTCCAATACCAGCTTCCCACCTTGGCTGCTGTCGGCTAGTCGGATTACACCAACACCAAAAGCCACATTCATCTCTTTCACAAATGAAATACAATATGCCTTTGGTTGGTTTTTCTGATTCAACAGTTTTTATCTTAGACTTTCTTTCACAATCACATAGCCTGTATTGATATCTTAAATCCCTACTTCCATTCCCACTTCTATAACTTGAGGAAGACATTCCTGAAGACATCTCAAAATTAACAAGTTTAAGACTCTTACCTCTCCTCCCAAATCGATTACATGCTATGAGCAGACCCAAACTCACAAATTTTTCTTTGTATGGCTGTGGTTTTAGCTTGAAGATGAGCAGACCTAAAATCACCAATTTTGCTTCAAATGGCTGCGATTTTGGCTCAAAGCCAATTTAGGGTTTGGAAAAGAAGAGATTTGGTAGGGAGAATGCTTTTGATAAACACACGGGGGTATCTTTGGCAAGTGAAAATATTATTTTCTCTAAAATATTATTTATTGCAACCACAACTCTCAGCAGAAGTGCGTGGCACTCAAATATGATTGACCTTGATTGGAGAACCGTTTCTGTGTCTCTTGATAAAGTTTTAAACATTGGAGAGGAACTCGTATATTGGATTTTGCCCTTATGCATGGCCTTTTGTTGTTTGTTCATTAACACAGTACTAGCATTCATTGTCCAGTTTTAGCACTAAACAAACAGGTTGAAGTTAACATGTGAAAAACTTTATTCTAAAAACAAAGTTTTCCACCATACTTTTGGGGTCTGCATTATTTGCATTGGAAGACTGCCTGCTCACATTCATATTTTTTGTTCGCATGAACCCTTACTCCCAAGCACAGGCAAGAATGTTTAGATGTTTATGTTCCTTCTGCACTGTGTAGAAACTGAGTGAATAAGGCCATCAATCTAACTATAATTTGCTGTTCTAATTGAGCTTCAGCAATTACATTTATTATTGTCATACTCAGCTGTTAGAGCTTAAATTTCATTTTGATCTCTCTGGCATGATTTCTTCTGCTTTGACATTTTTCCCCTTCTCATTTTCAGCATCTCTGCTTGTAGCCATACATGTGACCTTTCATCTTCTTAGGGTAAAGCTGTCCTTGTTTGGTTCAGGTCTTTCTTACGTGGGGGCAGCGTGGGGATATTCATGTTTCTGTACAGTTTCTACTTTTATTCCAAATCAAGTATGAGTGGTTTCATGCAAACAGTGTTCTATTTTGGCTATAGTGCTTTTATGTGCTATGCATTTTTCCTCATGCTCGGCACAGTCAGCTTTTATACTTCCTTGACGTTTGTCCGCCGCATCTACCATGCTGTCAAGAATGAATGAGCTTGCTGTTATGTTTGGCCTTCGGCTGCCTATTTTGCTATCTTTCTCCTTTAAAAGCATACACAGCACAAAGGCAATCATTGTTACACCAGTGGTAGTCTCCTCCGATGAGGGGTTGCTCAGCAGGAGGAAAATTGCTCTGTTTTTAAACTCAGACCGGACCGGCCGGTCCAACAGGTCAAACCGAAAACCGGCCAGTTGTCCGGTTTGAGTTGACTTAAAAACCTGAAATTTTAAAACTCGGTCAAACCAGGTCAAAACCTGTAGTTGACCGGATTTGACCCGGTTTGACCGGAAAAATAAGAACTAGGCAAGTCAGTTGCAAGCCCCTCCGCTTGGTTTGGTTGGGGAGTTTCGGGCCAGGTACAGAGCAGAGACTAAAAGTGGAAGTCCAAAAAGGACAAACTTGCATAATCATCTTATCAGAAGCCATAGATTATTAGGACACTCCTTTCTCATTTTCCACCAAAATGGGCCCCAAGGTCGGTGATCTGTCGTCCATAATCTCTTCACATACTATATCAATCTCGACTTCTCCATATAACTTACAGACTCTCTTTTTATCTGCCGAGGTTGGCACCAATTTCAGGCTTTGGAACCAATTCACTCTCTTCTTTTTTTTTACTATTTTTTGAAAGGTCAAAATATTTTTCATATTATGTTTTGACCTCTAGGTTGTTAAAAATTATTAATATAACTCAAATATTTCATACTTTATAAATATTTTCTTAAAGTTTGATATTATTTTTCAATTAAGTCCATAATTTTAATTCTAAACTTGTTAATGCTCATTAAATAATATAAATTGCTACTTGATTGTTCTAATTTCTTTGTATTTTCTTATCAAATATACTTAAAATATCAAATATATATGAATATACCTTTATTAATACTAACATGTAATTAGGTATTTTACATATCATATTTTAATTTTTATTTATGACGTCATCCGGTTCAACCCCGATCGAACCCGATTGAACCCATTGACCCCTGACCCCTAAGCTCGACCGAGTCAATACCTGGTCCGGTTCTGAAAACATAGGAAAATTGGTCGGAACCTGAAATCAAGTTGGAAAGACTAATTTCAATTTAAACTGTCTTTTTAGTGTAGCAGGATCCGCTAGAAATGATGTTAAACTTGATTCCGCTGCTTGCTTTTGTTCTTTACCCCAGGAAAAGGAAGGGGAAATATAGAGCAAAGAGCCTATGCTTGTAGCTTACAAATGTTGTTGGTTAAACTTATTGATACCCAGGAGCAGAGGCCACTGCCAATCATTGTCCTGTTATTCTGATTTAATACCATAACTTCAGGTACCTGTGAAGCATCGATTGGGCATTGCTTTCCCACGTTGTAAGATTTCTTGGCAGCGCCCATAATAACCATTATATCATGAAAATCTTAGAAATGAAATTGGGAAAATCGTCAATTTAGTCCCTAAATATTTTCACTAACGCCAACTTGGTCCCTTAAAGTTTTTTACTATGAAATTAGTCCTCAAAGTAAAATATATACGTCAATTAAGGACCTGCGTCGTAGTGCCGCCGCAAACTTGTTTCTTATTGAAGTAGACGGCGGTCCATTCAGGGGCTTTTTAGGCACTTCATGCCATGAATTCTTAGAAGCTTGAGGAGAAGCCATGGGAAGTCCTATGAGTAAGAAGCCTGGTGAAATTGCGAAATTTGGGCTTGAGAAGCCTGGTGAAATTTGGGCAACTGGATATTCAAGAGGAATTGGAGTTGTTTTCAGAAGAATTCTTTGGACTGGGATTTGAGTTTCCTTAGAAATCTGATTTTTCTGTCTGATCCTGAAGCTTTGGAGGTTAGTGATGGTATTGGAAATTTGATTTTCGTGGATTTTCTTGTATGAATCTTTGGCAATTTAAGCTCGTCTTTTTTTGCTGAATGTTGTTCGACAGGGGAGATTGCAGGAATTTTCAAGTCGGAAGATCAGTTTCTGGGTTGGTGAAGATCGGATTGGAATTCTTTTTTTTTTTTTGTTTAATAGGGTAAATCACAGATCACCATAGATTCATATACCTAGGTATAATCAAAGGCGTGTTTACATTTCCAAGTTCTTAAAAATCAAAGAAATCAGAAGATCAACATTTCATAATCACAGCCGATGACGACGACGATGATATTTATGATCTTCAGTCTTCGTTCTTAATAGGATCTTCATAGTTGGGATCATTTACGGCGACAGCTTCTTTGTGGATCCGTCCTAGCTCAGCATCGGAGTAACAGTCACCGGACCACGTGAACTTGCCGCCATGGCCACCTTTCTTCGGCAATCCATTCATGTACCCGATTTCCTGTCTCTCCTGATCTCCTGACCGTTGCCGGCCTTCACATTTGTCTTGGAGCTTTTGCCGGAATTCCTCATCTATCTCTCTCCGCCCATGGGTCTTCTATAGCTACTCTATCAATTGAAGCGAGTGGATTTGGAATTCAGACAGAGGATTAAAGCTCTGATTTACTTGAAACGGTTCCTAATTCTGAGGACTAAAGACGATTAGAACCATTGCTGATTCTCGGTGGTTGATATGAGTTTTCAGATGGAAGCCTTTTTTTTTTCTTTTGGGATTTTTCCCCGCCTTTTATCTTTACAACCAATTGAATTACTCAGAGATTTGTTCCAATGAACTTACCCTGTTATGAAAGGTAAAAAAATCTTCTTCATATGTTGTTTCTCCCAGAAAAATTTCAATATCTATTTTTTCAAGAGAAACAACTGGATTAGAAGCTTAGTCTTTCAAATTTGGTGACTAATCTAGTTGCCCAGTTGCCCAAAAATGGGGAAGTTTGCCCAACTGGATATGCCCAGTTGCCCAAAAGTTAGTAGCCATGGCCTCTAATCCAGTTGTCAAGCCTAGTGAAATTTCCCATGCCCAAATTCTGATGCTTGAGAAGCTGTAAATGCGAAAGACTAAGCTTGATAAAAGCTTAAGTACATCTATGCTTGGAGAAAATTGTCGAGCATTATCTTTGTTGCCGCATTTGCTGCTGTTCTTATATGTTCAGTCATGGCTGCTGCTATGGCTGTTCCTCCTGTTGCGGCCGTCCTTGCTGCTGCTACTTCCATCCCTCTGGGATCAATGGGGAAGTAGATTGATTCTCTTCTGCAGAGCTATGAAAATGCTGTCAAAGGACAGAAGGAGATCATGAGCTCAATTCGAGATAGAAAATTGGTTTGCGTCCAACATATGCCGAAATTAGGAAAACTTTTGAGAGAGTGCATGAAATGCCCAAAAAGCCCTTGAATGGACCGCCGTCTACTTCAATAAGAGACAAGTTTGCGGCGGCGCTATGACGCTGGTCCTTAATTGACGTATATATTTTACTTTGAGGACTAATTTCATAGTAAAAAACTTTAAAGGACCAAATTGGTGTTAGTGAAAATATTTAGGGACTAAATTGGCGATTTTCCCAATGAAATTTTAAGGTTCAAGAAGAGATATTTCGGGAGTCTCAGGGAACAGCATTCAGACTGATTCAGAAGCTGATGCGAGGACACATAATACTAAATGGACTTAAATGTAACTTTATTCTTGGCCAACAAAGAAAATAGAAGAATACAATAATTGTTACATCATATGAGATCGATGTGGCAAGTGAACCATGAGCAAGGGGCAAGAATGCTTGTCATAACAAGCGCTCCTAAACAGTGCAAGGCCATTTCAACAAATTGTAAGATGTGCTCATTTACTCGTTGAACTTTTTAACAACGGTGTAATATTTTGTTACTGTTCATATGGATGTCATTTCTACAAATTGTAAGATATGCTTAGTTACTTATACAACTTTACAATACTAGTATAATATTTTATCACTGTTCATGTGGATCCCATACATAATAATTACGTTCCTACTACTAATTCTTACAAATAGTTTTGCATATCTTATAATCTGTTAATAAGCTGTTATACATCTTTATCCATTGAACAACTTCAATTGTAATATGGTGAGGAAGACGAAGAAATGAAAATTATTATTGTTTTTTTAAAGTAATATCGTGATATTATTTACTTAAATTTGTATAAAAGAAAGCTACTGCAAAGCCCTCTATTCTATAGCTTATAATTTAGTTCAAGATGGTCCATACAAGGGTGGCAACACTTGAATTTGGTCTGCAGGAGATGGACCAACGATGCTTTAGGAATTTAAGGACAAGATTTGGTGATCCCATCACCCTGAAACAAATATCTCTCATTCTTTTTCTTGCATAAATGTACGTCCACATCTTTGCCTCTTCAAGGTTAACTCTTCCCGTTCACTTTCTATTTCAGTACTATAGATTTTTATTTATTTTTCTTGTTACAACAGTGTTGATCGAATTGTGTCATGATGTTTCAGTATTCATGTCAATTTGCACTGGTTCTCAAGTCTAACAAAATTGGAAACAAGTGTATTGTTAAGCAGCAATACCCAAGGACATATAAGATTCAGTGCATTATAATCAACATAGAACCAAAATACATAAATATTAGGACATCATTTGTTTATTTAAAATCCAACAAAAATAAAATACATAATCAATTTGAATGCCAACTACTGTTTTTTTTTTATCCATTCACAGTTCATATTTCATCATCTTAAGGAGCTCTACATTATGCTATATATATGAAGTTAGAAAAACTAGTTTTGGTTACTGATTCTGAAACTCCACGTGAAGAATTTCTGAATGTGTTTTAAGTAACTGCTTTTAAATGTTAGACATTAAAAGGATTTCAGAAGTAGTACAGGGGTTAAAAGCTAACAGATATTATATACATATAAAGCTCCTTCAATCATTGATCTTTACTTGTATCAATTAATAATTTAAATATATGTGAAAGTGTTGTTTAAAAATTAAAGATGCAAATAACTAAATATAAGGATTACGATAGATTTGAAAAAAAAAATTGATACAAGTGGTTTGTATCAAAATCAGTCTCTATAACCTTCCTATTTTTTATACCCAAAACAAAAATGAAAAAGAAAGAAAGAAAGAAAGGATATGCAAATATCTAAAATTATGTTACAAGTGTGTTTCGATAGGAGATTATTTGAAATATCTTTTTTTAAAAATATTATAATACTTTTTGTGAGAGAAAAAAGTGATTAAAAAATATGTTGTTACCGTTCAAAATTAGGATAAAGTCCTGCAAGTCCAACCCCCGTTGCGTTTTACGCTAGATGTAGTACTTTGCCTAACATGGTTCCATTCCACCACACATTTCAACCAACAAAAAACTAGGAAAGACACGTTCTGACTTCAAAAGCCGTAAAAGCAAACCCTACGAACGTGTAATGCAAATTCCCCACGCATTCCTCTTTGTATAAATCCTTGACTAGAGACCTTCTAGCATGCAATGCAAACATTGATCCAGATACTATCATTGAGACCATCAGTTGTATCTTAGTAACCAATATCTATGGCCAACTGTTCTTCATCTATTGCTGCAGATACTAAAACAACCAATATGGCCGCTGATCATCTCTCTAAAACAAGCAAAACAAGTAAAGCCCATGAGGGTTCTTTAGATTTCGACAACTATCAACCAGTGATAGCGTCGCCTAGAGTCAGATGTCAAGATGCAAAGCCCAATGGCACATCATCATCATCAGTGCAGCAGGATGCTTTGCAACCGATGCCAAAGAGTGCAATTCAGCAAGAGGAATCTGGCCGAGAAAAACTGTTTCGGCATTGGAATGAAGTGGCTGGAAGAGTTTGCATACCCGAAATCTGGGGTCAGGAGGCTTTTCTGAATGATTGGATGGATTGTTCTTTGTTTGATTCGTTGCTTGCTCCCAAAGGAGCTGTTTCAGCTCGTGAAGCACTGATTGCTGAGAGAAAACGAGACAGCACGAGACACTTGATGAAAATGGAAAGTATGTACTGATCATTCCTACCTATTCATGACTAAGCTCTAATGGCGGTAGTAGTTTGTAGATCTCACGGGAGATGGCAAATTCTCCATGTTTTCTAGTAATACTCGATGCTAGCTTATTATATATAGGTTCCTTATGAATGTTAAATCTATCTGTACATGCAAATTCAAGATGTCGGTGTTAATTAATCTTGCTGATGGTACTTTTTAATTAATTATGATGCATTAGGATGTATTAGTTGCATATCACATGTATTATTACCTATCTCTTGAAGCAATATGACCGAATCTGGAGATGATCATCTGCTTATGTTGAGGAGAGCTTTCTTTCTTCTTCTCAAACAATTATACGTGCATCTCCATCTAACTCAGTTTAAAGATATAGTAGCTACGCTTTATTTTCTTTTCTTGGTTTGCTTGCAGCCAGGGGGAACAATTCATCTGTAAGGCAGGGAAGTGCTCGATCTGGTGATCTTAAACCATCTATCGATGCATATACAAAATACTGAAGTATTTCTTTTCTTTTCTTTTCTTTTGCCCTTTTCTTTGTTCTCAATTTGAAAGATGGTGTTTCTTCTAATTCGACTTCCAAGGGACTGATGCAGGAATGGTATTTATCTTGAAAATTACCAAATATTTAGCACAAATTTAAAGAGAGAGAGAGAGAGAGAGAGAGAGAGAGAGAGAAATAGCTGATTCTTCACTCTATTGGAAGAAAATCCAAAAAGTGCAGTGTCCCTTGTTTTTTTCTTTGAACAAAAAGGCAATCACTTTAATTTCTTTATATAACTTTAGATTGGTCTCCCTTTATCTTAATTAGGAAGTCGAAGTGGAGATCTTTAGATTTCAGAATGGAGTTTCATCCATTTTGCTGATCAATCTTCTACGTTCTAAGATCACACTTATGTTGGCATCCTTTCTTGGTGATTCTGAATTAATAGCTTCTCAAAGAAATCCGTTCATAGTCCAGTTTTCAAAATTTTTTGTTACACAGTTTCATTTTTTTGCTTTGAATTAGTGGTTAACCGTTTGCTTTAGCTTTTCCTACATGAAAAAGCTAAAAAGAAATCACTCGGCAGGCAAAATTTTGGCAATATCAAGTAGCATAAGAAATTTTGTGAAGTTACAGACGTATACAAAACTCACTTAATTTTTATTTGTATCGTTCGATATTTAAAATATTTGTAAAAATGTTTAAAAGTCAGGAGTGGAAATACTTGTAAAATAAAATCTAGCCTTTTGCCTTTCTAATATTTTGCATACATTAAACGTATAATTTACGTATTTCTTATATTTATAAGAATCTCTTATGTTCATTACAAAATTTTCTTTTACAACTTTATCCAGATGAATCAAATCCAATCTTTTTTGGTATTTTGGATGAATTTAAGGTTTTATTATTCCGTATTTGCTTCCGAATTTGCACGAGGGAGAGAAGAAACAAATTATGTGAGGACTCCTTAAATTTGTCAAACAAAGAATGTTATGATGCATTTATGCATTTAAGTTCCGTTACGAATGACTATTTCCATTACTTTAACACTTCAATCCAAACCATGAGAGGATTATGTATAGCTTTTGAAATCATAGGAAGGTTATGCAAAAAAACACTAAATCACTGGAGGGTAAACTATAATTTGCCCAAAAAAAATGTTTGAGTATGGTAAAGTTACAAGATTCATTAAATTTGGACCAAAAGCTATGGAGGTTCGATGTTGATCAAGCTTGCCATAGCTAATTATCATCAAGCTCAACCAGAATTAAAGTTGCCTTGGTGATTTAAGTTGTGCACAAGCTCAACAAGTTCTTTGTTCATTTTTTTGAAGCAACATAAACGAAAGAAAAAAATGCTGCATACAGAAATTCAGTACTTTTGCTTGAAAAATTTACTGTAAAGTTGTACAAAATCCCTTTGTTTCTGAATTTATAGGACAAAAAATATATGTTTGGCTTTCCTTTTATCTACTTAAAAATATGTCATCTTAAATCTTAATCTACCTAAATATTGATTACGTATAATTGTTGGTATTGTTTAACAAACAAAATTAAATTTTGCGTTGGACGGGGGCTCGAGGCCCAAACCAATGTGTTTTTACGCTGCTCTTCCATGATGGGCTGTGTGCAAAAGTGCTTCTACAAACTACAAGGGCTAACTTCCTTCGATGAGACCAGCAAAACATAGGCCTAGTTTGGGAGTTTTGCAGAGAATTATAGAGGAGAAAGTTTAAATTACCAGAGAAAAGAAAAGAAGGGAAAGGAAGAGAATAGATTTTCAAGTTGTTTGGGAATTTAGGAAAGAAATGGAATAATTTTTGAATATGTTGGATATTAATAATTTTTTAATGGCATTTCAAATAAGTTTGGAAGCATTGCGTCCACTTTCCTTCAATTTCTGTTTATTGAGAAAGTTGTTTTAATTATTCACCCTCTATTTTCCTCTCTTTCTTCTCTTTTCCTTAAAGGTGTAAATGAGTCTAATTAAATCGAACACTCTAGTGTTCAAATTTATTTAATTATTTTAATGAGTTTTAAATTTTGTTCAAGTTTGGTTTGTTTAGTTGCTAAATTGAATTTGAACGAGTTTTTTTTTATTGAATTTGAAAGTTATCAAACACAAAAAATTGTTCGAGTTTGGTTTGACTAGTTAGTGAATCAAGCGACCTCTTCCAAAACCGAGCTCGATTTAAGTATTGAATAATGTGATTCATCTTTCAACTTTACATTCCTACCACTCAAAAACTTTGAAACAAAAGGAAGATGAGGTCATTCCTTCCTTTCTCTTCTCTTCTTTTCAAATCCCTCCATCCAAACTAGGCCTCACACTCCTCCTTGCAGACTTTGTGAAATGCCAAGAAGCCAAGCTGAAATTCCAAATTAAGATGCTATTATGTTCAAAGCTTTTGGATTTTAAAGTTCCAACATCTATGGATCTACTATTACATTTCTGAAAACCAGCAAGTTCCAGATTGAACTAGCTAGTTTGGTTGGGCCTATAGAATTTAAAATGACCTCATGTTTACACCCATGAGTCCATGTTTTGTCCTTTGCCTTCTTAAGCCTCTATATAACATTAATCATCTCTCGTCTTCTTTTCTTTGTGTTTACGTGTCATTCTATGATATCAAACTTTGCAATACCAAAAATTAATCAACATTCACCATCTGAATAATTCACCATCAAAAAATAATGAGCGTGTTTGAATATAGGTATCATTTGAAATATTATTTGAAATAATTACTATTACATTTTTTGTTATGTGATATATATGAAATAAAAAAATTAAAATATAAAAAAAATGAGTTGTAAAATGTATTTATAATACAAGTGAAATATTATTTGGAATAACTTAATTATCCCTCTGCCCAACTCTCCCTTGTACTAATAAATCCACTATTTGGCGGTCCAATTCGAGTTGCCTTTCGAACCGGAGTGAAATAGCTCCAGCCGGTTCAGCTACCCATCTAACCCGCTCCGTTGGAAAAATTCCCAAAACCAATAAAATCTCAACTCCCCAGCATTTGTTTTTCTTTATTGACGCCGGCTGCTGAGAATCCGAGAAAGGAAAAGCTAAACCCATCAGAATTGCGATGTTTTTCCAACACTTCAAACACCATAAAGTTAATGAACACAAGAACAAAAATAGAAAAGAAAATCAAGGTGCAAAGATTGTACATTGGTAGTGTGTGCAAGAGTTAGGTTGGAATTCCACGTATAATGTTTATTTTCTCCTCCTCTTATAAGTTTTGTTTGGTTTTTTGGCAACAGTGGAGATAATTTTCAGACACATACATGCAGAAATTTTCTTTTAAGCATGAGCCATTTCATCATTTAAGTTGTATTTAGGGTCTGTTTGTTTCAGGTGAAAATCTTTTTCAGGAAAACATTTTCCATATTTTCGATTGTTTGGTTGTCAATTAATTTGGAAAAATAATTTCAGACTGAAAATAAGTTACACTCCAGCAAGTATTCATCGAATCGGGATACGGGGCAGGAGCGGTCCTCAGACGACCGCTCCTGAACGGTCTCCTCACAATAAAAAACGTGAGGAGACAAATGAGCCAAGTCAGCAAGGCTGAAGCAGGGCACAAAAACGGCACCGTTCCAAATAAAAAAATGTTGACTTCCAAACGTGAGCAAACGGAGCAAACGGAAGAGAAGTAGATTTTGAAATTCAAGTTGAAATTTTGAATTAGTCGCAGAAAACAAAACTGAGGGAAGAGTCTTGGCGTGCTTCTGAAGGAGCTCTACTCTGACAGTCTGACCGACCGCTCATTGAAGGTAGAAAGCTGAAGTTCGAGTGGAATTCGACTTACTAGCTCTTTCTAGTGAAGTGAGTGTAGTCTACTCTGATGAAAATAGCAATTGACAGAAAAGTGAGTGGAAAGGCAGGCGGCAAGGAAGAAGCAAAGAGAGATGAAGCCAAAGTTTGGAGGGAAAACTGAATAGCAGAAGCAGCTGTAGTTTTCAACTGGGTATAAGAGTATTGTATCTATTTTGAATGCGCACAAGGCAGGCGGTAAGGTAGAAGCAAACAGAGGAAGGACAAAATCTCACGAAGCCAGATTTTGTCCTTCAACTTAATAGCAGATGCAGCTATGCTCTCCGACTTCGGTGAAACGTGAAGCGTATTAGCAGACCAAGGTAACATGACTAAACCATGTCAGTAACTGTGGCCAATAATTTTTCACCCTATTTTCAATTGTTAAATGAAGGATAAAATTAGAGTCACTGAAGACATAATATGAAGATGATACAAGAATAGTGAAGTTGTACTATATTAAATATATGTACCGTATCTGTGTGTGTGACCATTTAGTTTTTCAGTGATGAACTATAAAGGGATAGTAGTTTTTGGAAGACCTAGGGGTATGTATTCAAATAAACCATCGAACGGAATTACGGAAAGATGAGAGAAACAAAGTCACATTTAACAAGTGAATGAATGTACATCTTGTTGTAAATTAGTTACATGTTATAGCCACCGTATTACAATTGATATGAATCATTGTGCATCTAGTAATTGGTCCATGCTCATGGAGTAATATTAGTTTGTCCCTCTCTTGACCGTGTAGTGTGTATAAAATAGAGGTGTAAAGTTGAATGAGGTGAAACTGAGGAAAAGACATATATGTGAATAATAAATGGGTGAACCTTGTATTGTAAGTAAATTACATGATGTAAAAAATATATTACAATGAGTAGAAAGTGATTGTTTGGCCCTCAAAATATAGAAATAGTAGAAAATGCGGAGTTGGCTTATGCGGTTGTTATTAACGAATGACATAAGGTCCAGTGAGCTAAAGAATCTAGAATCAAAATATAATCACCAGCGTGGATGTACATACAGTTAAAATAGACTTACATCGTGTGACCAATACATTACAATCCGTATAAGTTAGTGTACATGGAGTTGTATTTGTACACAGATTGTGTTAGAGTAAAAGTAAGATGATGTGAATCATTAATCATATTGATAGCGTAATAATAGAATTTGGTATACGAGTAATGT